CCAAGACAATTTTTTAGATTCTAGACAACACCAACCATGACAAGATTTTCCATAGGAAATCACTTCTGTCAATAGATGACCATTTACTTTTTCCTCCTTCTATCATACTTAAGTTTTAGCAGATTTACGGAGCATGTCTACATGAGAGAAGGAGAAAACATTTAAAAAAAAAAAAAAAAAAAAAAAAAAAAAAAAAAAAGAAGAAAAGAAAAGAAAAGAAAAAAGTTCTATGATGAATGTCAAGTTGGTGGTACTTAACTTATTAAGGCTTCCTTTGACAACCTCATAAAAGCTAGCATGTTGATTTTAAAAAACACTCATTTTACTTTATAAAAAATAAACAAATAAATAAAACAAAATAAAATAAAAAAAACTTTGAGGACTTCTATATATCACTGTCTTTGTTATTTTTTTTTAATGATTATTTCTAACCAAGGAACCAACTATAAGTATTCACATAGAAAGCAATATAAAATGGTAACATAAAACATATGTCATATATCATTTCTCAAAAACTTTAGGTCAAAGAACTAACTTGTTTTAATTTTTTGGTTTTTTTTTTTTTTTTTTTTTTTTTTTTTTTACTAATAAGCTAGCTTCTTGGTTAACTCCAATTGGTAGCTTAATGTAACCTAAGAATAGCGATTTTCTAATAAACCTGTGTTTGGAACTAAGATTTGTCAAAAGGAAAAAAAATGAACATAAAAATAAAAAGTACATTTTAAATCTAAGATCCAAACATAGCATAAAGACAGATATAATCTTCCCCTCTATTTTCATATCTTAAGTTGGTGAAGTTCATGGTTACTCTTAATATTTATTTGATACCTTAAGCATTGTTGATCTGAAAGAAATCAACCCCAATAGTTACCGATCTTTAAAAAAATAACCAAAGTAGTTACAGATCTAAGAGAGATGTACCAAAATAATTCTCTTCCCTCTACAAAATAGTGTTACAAATCTGATGCTCTGCCTTCTACTTGTGTTCGTTGATGATGAAGAGTGTCTGACGGTGATGAGTTCGACAAAAATATTAAAGATAATCAAGAAGAGAGATTGATGCTAGGAGACGACCATTGTAAGAGACTAGTGATGGAAAGAGAAGCCTGTACGTTGGAGAAAAAAAACAATGAAAGAGATCAGGAAAAAAACCAGAAGAGGCAAAGGGCTTGTTTGGTTTGCTTTTGAACGGTTGTTTTGAAAATTTTTTTTTTTTTTTAAAAAAAAAAAAAAAAAACTGTATTGAATTCATAACTACTTATATAACTTCTATTAGGAGTATTTTATAAATAATAATAAAAAATGTGATATGGTAATTGGCTCTCCTTGTTGCCCTTCTGATTACAATGTCAAAATTTTCCAGTGAATGCAAAATGAACGAAAGAAAAAAAGAAACCTTCTGATTACAATGTCAAAATTTTCCAGTGAATGCAAAATGAACGAAAGAAAAAAAGAAAAAAAAAATGAGAAAAAAGAAAAGATGCAACTTAATGTAATCCTACCTAGCTATAGGTTGGCGTATAAAAATGGCTTGCAGCCCATGGGCGACTCGAAGTCTGCCCGCGGCCCGGGATGGGCTTGGCCCGTTTAGGTCCATTTGGGTCCCAACCCGAGCCTAGCCCAAGACCCTGGACCTGAGCTATCATTTTGAGTCCCGACCCAGTCTGTGGGCTTGACCCATTAGCTCGCTTAAGGCTCACTCAAGGCCCGGCTCACATGAGGCCCAGTGTCTTTTTTGCCTTCAGATCCTCTGTAGTGGATTGTAGAGGGTTGTTCGTGCAGTGAAACAAAAGGATGTCGTTTTGAACTAAATGATGTCGTTTTACATAAGATTCAAAAAAGAACAAAACAAAATTTCTTTTTTTTGATCCACTCTGCCTCCCTATCTTCTTCCTCCTGCTCTTTAGTCCTCGCAATGGGCCACTCACACCGCTCTTGTCTTCCTCTTTCTCTTTCCCATAGAGCAATGATGCCTTTTGCAACTTAGGAAAACACACACACACACACCTATTGTATCGTTCAAAAGAGAGAGAGATAGAGTGCGCATGTGTGCGCGCTACAGCAGAACCAAGGAAGGGACTTGGATTCTCTACCAGCCTCATTGGATTCCTTCCTCTCCGCCTCCAGAGCTATCTTTGGCTTCTTCTTCTTCTTCTTCTTCTTCCACTACCAACTGCCCTTCCTTCTTTCTCTCCCCAAAAAATCTTCAATCTCAAACCTTCTCTTAATTATCAACCAAGTCTTGAATCACCAACTGCACAGGAATCCAATTGAAATACTAATCTCCAATTTGTTTTCTAGGTGTTTTCAACAACAAAAAATGAAACAATCCAACATGGTTAAAACACCAAGTAAGAATTTGAAGATCCAAAAAACTCAAGCTTTGTGATATATCAAAATAAAGTTCTTGAACATTCGAAGCATATCATCACTAACCTAGGAAAAAAAAAAAAAAAACTTTGAAACTTTTTTTAGTGGCATTGTGGGTACGAGGTAGTCATTAAAGAAAGAGGAAAGTAGAGGAACAAGGAAGAGAGTAGAGAGGAAGATGAAAGGTTGGAAAGTGAAAGTGTGAAAGAGGTTTTTTTTTTTGCCTTTAAATTGTAACCTCTTTGCACCACTTTTGAGGCAAAGTGTTTGGCCATAGAGGTCTTAAAACTCATGGACAAACAAGACAAAGGGTAAAAGTACTAGTAGACGCAAAATGACACCTGTTCGGAATAGCTTGAGATTCGGTTGGGACATGAAAAATAGAGTCACAATCAATACCCACAGTATTCCATGGTATATAATGAATTTCAACCAAATTCCACTATTTAGGCCTTCAATTGTGCGATTTTTCCATTTTAGGAAATATTTGTTTCTTTAATTAGTTGGAATGAAAGAATCTGTTTGAGGCTAGGTTCTTTCTAGCTTATTTAGGGTGTGTTTGGTAACATTTACGTTTGCAGTTTATATTTACAAAAATTTTATAAACTGATTTTTGTTTATTTTTTATTTATTTTTAGAAAAACATAAATTACAAACGTGTTTGGTAATTAACAAATTATTTTAAAAAATTTAAAAATATAAAAAAGAGTAAGAAATGGCAAATTATGGCAAATGGCGGCGGAAGACAGTGGTGGAAAGTGATGACAGTGGGTGGTGGGTAGCTGGTGGCTGGTGGGTGGTGGTGGTGGTGGTGGGTGGGTGACGGTGGCGGGTGGTGAGTGGTGAGTGGTGGTGGTGGGGGGTGGGTGGTGGTGGCGGAAGACGGTGGTAGAAAATGGTGACGAGTGGTGGCTAGGGTTGGGTGGTAAAAAAAAAAAAACTCAAAACTCAAAACAGAAACACATTTTTTGTATTTTTATTTTTTGGCCAAATTTATAAACTGAGACTACTGATTTATAAATCAAAAATTTTACCAAACAAGTTTTTATTTGAGTTTTTAAAATTTTTATAAATATAAACAGAAAACTGAAAACATAAGTGTTATCAAACGGCATCTTAGTTTTTATTATATTTTCAAGATTTGAGCTTAATTTGAATCTTTCTATTTTTTGCAAAATTCGTTTTCTTTTTTATTTAGGCTTGATCATCATGCCTTTTTAATTTATTTCCTATTGTAATTAGGCCTTGTAAGTCTTAGGATAAATTAGTATATTTTGGAGAATTAACATATTTCAAGAGAGAGTATTTTTTCTATCCAAAATTCGTAATTTTGTGTTTGGTTTCATCCCTTGCAGTTCCCTATATGAACTTCATAGAAACTCCACGGTTTTGGATTCCAGAGGATCTGAACGCTCATGATTCACCACTGATGTAGCAAAATGTGAGATAGTAACAATCTTAGAATCCGTTGATTGAAAACTCAATATTGGAAACAAAATTTCTCTAAACTCATTGATTCACAAAGAATACGGAAAATAAAATATCAACAACGGTTTATTCTCAAAGAATATCCGAGGTTGGAATAAAAAAGTATAAAATTCAAAATATTAATTCTTCAAAAACTCAAGAGTCCTAAGACTTACATCCATTTAGGGGTGTAAATCTGGCCTGGCCCGGCCCGGCCCATCCAGGCTCGAGTTGGGCCAGGCTCATGTTGGGCCTCGCGGGTTCCTGCCAAAAATTCAAGCAGGGCCGGGCCGGCTCACAGGCCAAAAATCTAAGCCCGAGCCTTAGCCCAAGCATAAGGATATTCAGGCCTTGGGTGGGCTTGGGCTGGCCTGGCCATTTTTTTTTTTAATTTTTAAAAAAGTTTTTACCAAAAATTTATTATTTTTTACTAAAAAATACACTGGGCCTCGACGTGGGCCGGGTTTCTGGCCGGGCCCTAAATAGGCCTTAAGTGGGCCGATGGGCTAGTTCACGGGCCGAGCCAAGTGGGTCGGGCCGGGCCGGGCTTCAAAACGATGGCCTAGGCTAGGGGCTCAGGCCTGGGCCCAAGCGGGCTTAAACAGACCAAGCTCATCTAGGGCCGCAGGCGAGCTTCGGGCAGCTCAGAGACCGCGAACCATTTTTACACCCCTACATCCATTATATATAAGTAAAGACAAACCTAACTTGAAAGAAAACAACTAAAATTGATAGTTTCATATAAGAAAATATAATGAAAATTACAAAAAATAAAAATATTGCAATAAAATAACAAAACTACTAATATATGCTTTCATGATCATGAAGATTTTACGGAATCAGATTCCAAGATCTATGCTAGTAGTAATTGAAGTTTCAAATATTTCTAAAAAGGACAAATTCATGAAATTAATCCCCTAAATGATATAATTTGCTCAAAATCCACTAAGATCCATGCATGGATAATACTTAAAATTGCAAACCCACCATAGTTAATGCAATTCCGAGTCTGACCTTTTGTTTTTCACTGTCTTACTTATCATTTCATTCAAGAATCTTATTGGCCATGCTACATCAACCACTGACTGACCAGTGATCACCCTAACACAACCATGAATTACCCATTCTCTCTGGTGGACGAAAAAAAATATATAAAAAAATAGAAAGACACACAATTTGATAAGGGCGAGAAGTTTTTAAACTATTATAAAATCTTCTCATGCGCCGTTAGGTACAACACCACTAGGCCGATTCCACTAACCTTTCCTATCTGTTTTATATCTTTACATATGAAACCCTAAACCTGATAAACCCATTTCAAAAACCCTAGACTCAGTCACAAATTCCACAATCACTCCACTATGGACATTGATAAGAAAAAGGAGAAACTACCCACCACCTCCGCCAATACTACTGCCATTATTGCTAATATTACCAATATGCAAAGCGAAGAGACTTGCAATAACCTTTGCTGTTTCTTCTGCCTCATGAAGGAACCAGAGTCTTCAATGAGGAGAGCTGGAATCGCAAACTGCTTCAAAGAAATGCCTTTTATTGACGACCATGAACTTGTTCTAGTGCTCAGTGGACTCTGGAACATCGCCATGACTCAACCGAACGATCCAGAGTTTCCATCCCTCGGCATCTTTCAGTGCATGGCTAGTTTAATCCACAGAGGCCTCACCGATAGAGATTGGCTCCTTAAGGACCAGAACATATACATTCCCTACTATGCAGCTCATGTTATCGGTTCCTACACCATGAACAAGGTTGAGTTTGCAGAAAAAGCCGTGGACTCGGGTGTGATCCAGCCATTGATAGAGCTTTTCAGAGGAAAAATGAGTTGGGTTGAACAAAGGGTTGCAGTTCGAGCCCTTGGACACCTTGCAAGCTATGAAAGTACCTTTGAAGCAGTCGCGGAGTATGAGGAAGAGCTTGCTAAGTTAGCCATGCATTTGGCTTGTACCTGTCTTGAAGTGGTGTATGACATGCTTGTAGGAGTGAAGGATAAGAACCAGAGGTTGAAATATCACTGTGACTTGCTCACTAGAGGGGTTGGAGGACTGGAAATGGAGAATCGAAAAGCCGAAGAATGGGCTAGCCAACTTCAATGCTGGTCTCTCTATCTTCTCAACAGCTTTGCCATCAAAGAAAGGTCCATAAATCTCATCTGTAAGCAAGAATTCTTGAATGACTTGTCTGAAATGTGGGGTGGATTGATGAATCACACATCACCTGCTGGGGTTGGACTCATTAGAATCTTGTGTTACAGTAAAACTGGAAGAGAAAGAATTGCAGAATCACAACAAGTAATAGAGAAACTCTGCAATCTCTCGAGATCTTCGGATGATTGGCAGTATATGGGGATTGATTGTCTTCTGTTACTTCTTAATGATCCAGATACGAGGTACAAAGTTATTGAAATTGCCACCTTTTGTCTGATGGATTTGATTGAACTTAGAACACTTGGAGGAAGATCTAACGTTGGTGAAGTCATCGCAAGAACACTGCTAATGGATTTCAGACAAAAGAAGTCAAAAATTGGGAACAATAGAGTCAAGAAAGCACTCGAAGAAATATGGGATTTGAAGGTGGAAAGGAGAAGGAGAGAAAAAAAGTTGCCTGGTGAGAAAGTTGAAGAGAAAAGGGTTTTGGTTAGTCTGATAAAACAAGAAGGAAATCATAGCTTTTGGTCAGGAAAAATTGAAGAAGCTTTACTAAAGTATACAGAAGCTTTAGAGTTGTGTCCACTGAAGTTGAGAAAAGAGAGAATTGTTCTATATAGTAATAGAGCTCAGTGTCATTTGCTGCTTAGTGACTCTGATGCAGCCATTAGTGACACAACCAGAGCTCTTTGCCTTTCAAGTCCTATCAATTCTCATAGTAAAAGCCTGTGGAGAAGATCACAGGCTTATGACATGAAAGGATTGGCAAAAGAGAGCTTGATGGATTGCATAATGTTCATTAATGGCTGTATCAAATCAGAAACAACAAAGCATGTAAGAATTCCATACTATGCGGCACGAATGATCACCAAGCAGATGGATTTATCATCGCCTTTTGGCATTGCGCGGTCAAAGACATCATGCCATCATGTGGATGAAGTTCAACAATCAGACAGCGATGATGATAACAGCAATGACGAACATTCAAATCATGAAAAGATAAGAATTATAACAGAGAACAAAGGTTTCATGTCAGGTATGTGTTGATAACCCGTTTTTTAAACAAGGGTCAAAATACAAATGAGGTTGACCTAATTATTCGTGGATGGTATAATTATATGCAACCCCTTTGGAATACAAATGATGTTTCACTTGTGTAATAGGGTATGCCAAGTTGTGCTAGTTCCTCCGTCTCAAAATATTAGTTCCTTATTTTATTTTTCATAGGTTTAAAATATTAGTCTAATTTAAAAAAACAAAGACTATTATAACATTAATTTTCTATTTTGTCATTCTTTTAAATTTATTAATTATAACAATTGATATTCTCAAAAAAAGTCAAAGGGTAATTTTGAAATGTAATACTTGAACTAAAAGAAAGAAAGTTAGATTTCCCAAAAAGGATTAATATTTTGGGATAGGAGTAGTAAATTTGTGATATTGTGTATGCATGTGTTGATCACTTTTGCCTGTTAACTTTTTTCAGGTTTGTCCACCATTTTAGAAGAACCTTTGATTGGAAATGGCGGAAGTAGTAGGAGAAAGCTGGAAAGAGCCAGGGAAAGAAATTGAATGTAACAGTATCTTGGTAACAAATGTAGCAGCAGCTTTGATAGGGTTTAGCAACCATCACATGCTTGGTATGTGACCTTCATGTGATGGACAAATTTTGATTAACTGGTTACTAATACAATCCAATCATGTAGTGTTTAATTACCAATATGCATCCAGATAAAATATTCGGAAAGTAAAATGTGCAGATCAGATCATATTTATTTCAATAATAACGTACACACCATGGCAAATTTGAATCTATAATATAAAATTTGTTCTCAGAATATTTTTTAGTACCTTTTCAAGATACATAGAGGTGTTTAAAAACAATGTCATTACTAGAGTCAGAACAAAACCACCAATTTCATTTTAATTCTACTTTGAATCAGGAAGATGGTAACATGACATGGGCTATCAATTTTCAAAAATTAACCATATCATAAAAAATAAAAAACAAAAATAAAAAAAAAGAATCACATGCATGCATATTAACAAAGGTGGTTAGGACCACAAATCCACATTGAATAGAATATCATATAGTACTAAACAAAGTTTCCATTGTAGAAGTACCTTCCATGACTTGACCTTCTGGTTTTTAGGGAAACACCATAGGATGTGTAACCATACACTAGTTATGTCATTTGCGGGTTTGTTTGTTTGTTTGTTTGTTTTTTTTTTTTTTTTTTTTTTTTTTTTTTTTAATTATTAGAAATGACATAACTCAATATTATGAGAGTCATAAGTAATAAATAATTTTTTTTTTTTGAGTCATAACCAAACATTACATGAGGTATAGGCAAACAACTCTTGAATTAAAACAAAATTTTGTCATAGCCGACACCACAATGTGCCATAACTAACAACGCAAAAAATCATAACCACTAGCTCAAAGGTTATAACTAAAGGTATATATGGCACACATAGAATTTTCCTTTAATATATCGGAATTACTACTCTTCCATGTTTATCATTATTTAACAGGGATAAATTATAATTTACTCCCCTTATGTTTTGTCCACTTTCTCATTTTGACTTTTAAGTTTAGTTTTTTCCATGTTGGCTCTTCGTGTCACAAGATTTTTTCATTTTACTCTTATAGCTTTTTTTTTTTTTTTGTTAAAAATTAGATAGAAAATGATTGAAAGTCACGCGTGATATAAAAATATTTTATTATATATAACTTATACCCCTGTCTTAAATTTAAACTTCAATATAATAATATATTTTTTATATTATGTAACCGTTATTGTGACATTTTCTATCTAATTTTGAATAGAAGTTAATTTTAAGAATAAACTAAAAAAATTTAAAAAATAAAAGGTCAGAATAAAATAGTAATAATAAAAAAAACACTTTAAAAGGCAAAGTAAAAAATGATTAAACTTAAATACGGCAAAATATTTAACATAACTGATAGTGCTTGATGTCTTCCACCTTTTTTATCTTTTCTTTTCTTTTCCCCCTTCTTCCTATTCTCTTTCGGTTGGCTGGCCAATGTGCTTTCTTTAACCTAACAAGAGAATAACAGGCATAGGTTAGGCAGATTTGCACCACGATATATACTACAAGAAGACAAAGTTTTGGTTTCTTCTTTGACTTTTTCTTACCCCATTATAATTAATTACGGACGTTACCCTAAATTTCTGACTTTAGTTCTTTAAAAAGCATAGAAAACTAACACGGTAATTGATGAACTATAGATTCGCATTAATTTGTAATCTAGAAAAATTTAGAGTAGTTGATGAATAATTTATGAAGATATTTATCGAGAAAAATGTAAAGTAGTTAATGAATAATTTATAAAGATATTTATCTAGGAATATCTAGTAAATTGAAATAATCTATTTAGATATTTAATAATGATAGAAATATCTAGAAATTTATAATAATGATGTTGGAAAATATCAAACCTATCTACAACCTTTCTAAAAGAGGTTAAGATGATGATGTTCTTTGTATAAAGCCATGAGCAATTGTAAATGTATGCAAGAATCTTGACTTGTACTCAACATAATAAGAAGTTTTCTTATATTTTCATTTCTATCTTATCTTCTTCTATAATTCCCTTCCTAGCTTGCCCAAGTTCTTATCAAATATACCTTGTCACCCCAACAATTTTGGTATTAGAGCCGGGTTCCTCTCACCTATTCTAAAGCCTCCAAACCTCTTCCTTCAAATACTATTCTAGCATGGAAGCAAGTTCTTCCACTTTCAACTATGCACAAAATCTCATCCCTATATTTGAGGGAGAGAACTATGAATATTGGAGCATCCAAATGAAAACTTTATTTGTCTCACAAGACTTGTGGGAACTAGTTGAAGATGGTTTTGAGGCACCAGTAGATGATGAAGAACTTGCAACTTGGACAGAAGCACGTCAGAAGCAGTACAAGACGAACAAGAAAAATAATGCAAGTGCTCTTCTCAACATACAACGAGGGGTAAGCAAATCTATCTTTATTAGAATCATGGGTGCAAAAACATCTAAAGAAGCTTGGGATATATTAAAGTGTGAATATCAAGGTTTTGATAAGGTCATCTCCATTAAGCTACAAATATTATGGAGAGATTTTGACAATCTAGCAATAAAGGATACTGAATCTATTACTAAGTTTTTCTCCCGAGTTGCTCGAATTGTCAACAAAATTAGAAGTTATTGAGACAACCTTGATGACAAGAGATTTGTTAAAAAAGTTTAAGAAGTTTACCTCAAAAATTCGAGCAAATTGTTGTTGCCATCAAGGAATCCAAAAATTTATCTCAACTTACTAGACATGAGCTAATGAGTTCTCTCAAGGCACATGAACAAAGAATGAGTAGATTTACAAATCAGTCAATGGAGCAAGCATTTCAATCCAAAGTCAATATTGGAGACAAGATTCAAGAAAATCAAGGAAGGGATTCATTTCAGAAAAGAAGCACGGCTGGAAAAGGACGAGGAGGCCGAACCTCATTTCAAGCCCGAAACAAAGGAAGAGACTATAACAGTCAAAGAAATTCTAGCGGTAACTCTAACTTTCAATGCACTATTTGTAAGAAATTTAATCATGCATCTAAAGATTGTAGATTTAAGTGCAAGAAATGCAAAAATTCAAATAATTCACAACGTGATTGCTGGTTCAACAATGATAAAGACAAAGCTAATTTTTCTAAAGAAAATGAAGCAAAACAATTATTTTCTTGCATGAATGCCCAACAAGAGTCAAAAAATATTTGGTATTTGGATAATGGATGTAGTAATCATATGACAAGTAATCGCAAGATTTTTGTGCAACTAGATGAAAAAGTCTTTTCTCAAGTAAAGCTTGGTGAAGGAAAACTACAAAATGTTGAAGGAAAGGGAGTCATCTCCGTCCATACAAAGGGAGGTAACAAAAAATTAATTTATGACGTTCTTTATGTTCCGGGGCTAACCCAAAATCTAACAAGTGTGGGGCAATTAATAAAAAAAGGTTATGCAGTAAATTTTAATAATGATGAATGCATAATCTCTGACAAAAAGATAAATCATATAGTGGCAAAAGTCAAAATGACTCCAAACAAAGTTTTTCCTCTTGTAATGCCACTAAATGATAATTTTTCCCTTAAACGTGAAAACACCAATGATCCATTTCTATGGCATCTTAGATATGGACATCTAAATTACAAGGGCATGAAATTATTAAAAGAAAAAAATATGGTTATAGGATTGCCTCACATTGGCAAAATCAATAAAAGTTGGGAATGATGCATTTATGGAAAAATGTATAGATTGTCATTTCCAAAGACTTCTTGGAGAGCCAAAGCACCTTTGGAGTTGGTACATGTAGATATGTGTGGGCCTTGCCGAACACCATCTCTTGGTAACAAGAGATATTTTCTACTCTTTGTTGATGATTATACTCGAATGATGTGGATTTATTTTCTTGATAGAAAATCAGAAGCCTTCTTAGTATTTCTGCAGTTTAAAGCTTTGGTGGAAAAGCAAAGTGACAATGAAATCAAAATGTTGAAGACATATCGTAGCGGAGAATTCATTTATACTCCGTTTATGAATTACTGTAAAGAAAATGGGATTAAAAGACAGCTCACAGTTTGACACTCTCCTCAACAAAATAGAGTTGCAGAACAGAAGAACTAGACAATTGTGGAGATGGCACGAAGCATGCTAAAAGGCAAAGGTCTTCCTAACAAATTTTAGGCTGAAGCTATCAATACTGTTGTTTATATTCTAAACCGATCTCCCACAAAGGCTGTCCAAAACAAAACACCATATGAGGCATGGCACAAACAGAAGCCCCAGGTAAATCTTTTCGAAGTATTCGGTTGTCTTGCTTATGCATTAATTCCTTCCCAGAAAAGGGAAAAATTTGATGAGAAAGAAGAGAAATATATATTCATTGGATATAGTGACGAATCAAAAGGATATCATATGTTCAATCCAATGAAAATTGAATTGGTAATCTCTAGAGATGTCATATTTGATGAAATGACAGCATGGAAATGGGATGGTAGCTCCATTCTAAAGCAGAAGGAAATTGAATTTAATGAAACAATAGAAGGAGAAGGATCTTCAACTCACCAAGCAAACCCAAACCAAAGCCCACAAAACACTCGAAGCCTAAGGTCAAGAAATGACTCTCCAAGAAGCTCTTCATCTGAGGAATCTAAAACAATAGCAAGAAAGGTACGTTCCTTAAGAGAAATATATGAAACTTGTGATGTAACATTTTTTGCTTGTGAGCCACAGTTTTTTGAAGAAGCTATGAAAGAAGAAATTTGGAGAAAGGCAATGGATGAAGAAATTGAAACTATTGAAAAGAATTACACTTGGGATCTTGTTGACATACCCAAAGACAAAGATGTGATCAGACTTAAATGGGCCTACAAGACCAAATATAAAGAAGATGGCTCTATCTAGAAGCATAAGGCTAGTTTTGTTGCAAAAGACTACTCACAACAACCTAGAGTAGACTTCAATGAAACATTTGCTCAAGTTGCTCACATGGAGACAATAAGAACTGCTCTTGCCTTGGCTGCACAAAATGAGCTACCAGTATATCAGCTAGTTGTCAAATCAATTTTTCTCAATAGAGAGCTTGAAGAAGAAGTTTATGTTGAACAACCACAGGGATACATAGTCAGAGGAAAAGAAGACATGGTTTACCAATTTCGGAAGGCACTGTATGGACTAAAGCAAGCACCCTGAGCCTG